TAAGAAGAATTGTAAGAAGAATTTTAAGAAGAATTGTAAGAAGAATTGTAAGAAGAATTGTAAGAAGAATTGTAAGAAGAATTTTAAGAAGAATTGTAAGAATTCTTCTTCTTCTTCTTTTTATAGTAATTCTTTTGACAAAGATAATGAAAGGTAACAAGACGAATGTTTTTAGAGCTACTATATGATGAAGAGAATTAATAAAAATTAATGTTAAAATGTAGACAAAATAAGCAGCAAAAGGTTAACATGGCATGAGTATCTTTTGTGGGGAAAATTGTATATGATAGGGAAAATAATAAATATTAATATAGAGATATAGTACGGTAGAAGTAGACCTAGAAAAAGATGGATGGTGGAAGGTGATATGATTAAAACATTAGTGTCTTCTTAAATTACGTAAGATCGATTTACACAACGAAACCCAATGCTCGATCCTACGTGACGTGTGCAGTATTCTCGTGTGGTATTTAAATACAATATAAAACCTTTTTCTTTTGAAGGTTTGGTTACAATTTTTAACCTGTGTTAGAATCTTTTTTAGTAAATTTATTTTCTTCACAGGTAGTGTCATGGAATAACACAAATCCAGGAGATTACACCGTGGAAATAAATAGTACCACTAACACATTACTGACCATACATGGCACAACTAAAGTTTCTTTTAGTTACGGCTTCTCTGTTATAAGGCCTAGTTATTTCAACGAAACAACAAATAGACCAGTTGCAGGTACATAAAATACTACTAAATTACGATATAAAAATCATTCCAAATTACTATAATTTGAAGGATTTGCACAGCTCAAGTCTTCTCCATCAAACTAATCAAAATCCGTTCAGTCAATCCAGAGTTATTTGTTAACTATCATCCATCCAAACAATCCCAATTAAGATATACTCAAATTAGTATATATTATACTTAATATTAATTTTTGGTGGTTGTTCGTGCTTTCACCATTGTTTAAAAAAAAAAACTTTATTTTCGATAGGGCGTTTTAAAATTAATACCTACATATTTATACCGTCTCTTTTCCAGATCAAAAATCTTATATCTTGATAAAAATTAACAATGAAGGGGAAAAAATAAATCTTCAAAGTTTACTGGTCGTGGATTTAAAGGACAATATACTTTTAGACAAACTCAAAATTGTTTCTCAAGGAGACTCTTACATTGCGGAACCAATTGATTTGCCAAAAGATACTTTTAAAATAGTGGTAAATATAGGCATAATTAATTAATAATCGGTAAATATTAGAATTTAGTCATTAGTAACATTGATTTATGATTTCACTCAGATGGTAGCTGAGGATGAAAAGACGAAAGACGTAATAAAACGTGCATCTTTGCCTATAGAACCGCAAAAAGTACTACCTGGTAAGTATATTAGAATTATAAAAAAAAAACATAAACAATGAAAACTTGACGCTTTCGCTTTCGACTGCATATTGAAACCATTGTATGGCTGCAATTAAGGCATGTAATTTATTAATAACTTATGATAGATAATTAAATACAACAATTCCATAAATAGGTACTATGAAAACCGAGGCGCCAGTAGTTACTATATTGGGAGAAACAAAAATTACGACCTCTACCGGAAATCCTTTACAAATAAAATGTAGAGTAACTGGTAATCCTAAACCTAAAATTTCATGGGAAGATGCCTTTGGAACAACGCTGACATCTACGGTAAACATTACATATCTTACTAATATTATAAATGTGAATGTTTAGATGGATGGATGGATGTTTGTTACAAGGTATCTCCGGAACGGCGCAACGGAACTTGATGAAATTTGGCATAAATGTGGAGCATAGTCTGGAAGAAAATATAGACTACTTATTTTGTTATAATTCCTCGTGGTCAGAGTCGCGGGCGACAGCTAGTTTGCTTACATACAAAGTTTCTCTTTCTAAAAACAATCTCATTTATATTATTCAATCTTTCGTGCTTCGGCTAAACACTCTCGAATATTCGTCCGTTGGCGGCACCGACTAGTTTAGTGTATACAGTAAGCGACGGGCCCCGTCCGCGAAATACCAGTCCCACTTACCCTGATGAAGGGCCCCCGATGGGCTCGAAACTAGTCGGTACCCCCACCGGACGAACATACGTGAGTGTTTAGCCGTTTTTATATAAGTTTAATCTCTTTTATGTGTTGCGTATACCCAAAGAAACATTCATATATTCAGGTGTCGACTGTAAGGGAGGAATATGAATATTTAAGTATGTTAAACATAGATAAAGTTCAACGAAGTATTGCATACATCTGTAAAGCTAGCAATAACATTAGCAGCGATGAGAAAAGCGTCGAAGTTGAAACGGGTGATCGTTTTGCTGTAGTACAGATTTCTAAAGGTATGGCACGTTTCATTTTTTTTATATCATAAGGTGGCGAACGAGCGACCATTGTCCAATAATATACGAAATTGCACGTGCGTTGCCTATCTTGAATCGACGGAGGCATCTCTCATCTGGAAAATCCACTTCGATTTTTTTTATAAGTAAAGGATGGGAAAGGGAAGAGGACTAAAATTAGGACGCACACTAATAAGACTAAAGGCAGAATTACCTCCACTTCACGCCTGTCGTCTGTGTGCTCGTGGTATTGCACCGGGCGAACTAGTTAATTCGTGCGAAGATGTCAAAGCGAGCTCTACTACTGTTATATAATTTAGTTTTAATCATAATCCTTCAACGTGCTTATCATTTGAATAAATATTATTTGATAATTAATTTCCATTTGCTTTTTATAAAGACAATCATATTTGACCAACAGATCAAAAGATTGAGTATCATAAAGAGGGAAAATTATATTGTAAAGTAAACGCCGACCCACCAGCTAATGTGTTTTGGTATCTCAACGGAAATCCAATTGAAACAAATGATGACTTCGACATATCACCAGATAAATCCACTTTAACTATAAAAAAAATGAAAAATAACTATGTCGGAACAGTTCTGTGCGAAGTTCGAAACAGTGCAAAGAGAGTAATGTATAATATGAAACTGTCAACGATTGGACCTGGTATGTAACCTTGAAAATTCTAATGAAATAAATTATTTGGTAACATGTAAAGTTGTTTTAATTCTTCATTTTACAGAGAGGCCGGAAATAGATAAAAACATAACTGAAATATTTGCGATAGAAGGGTCCAGTGCAAACGTGTCGTGCAGGTAATAAATGCAAAAAAAAATAAAAAAAAGAAACATCATTTTTCAACTTGTTTTCTCTTCTAGAGTAGAGAGACAAAATACTTGCTTTAACAAGAGGAAAGAGTAGAAGAGCGTCATATGTTTTTCTTTATAAACTCTGCTAACCCAGTAATAGTAGCAGAGATACGTGATTATATTTACAAAACAGCTGTAATATTTTATGTACTAGTAATTATCCTTCATATAACTAACTACCTGTCGCCCGCGACTCCGTCCGAGCGAAATTAAAAAAATACTTAATTATTAGCCTATGTGTTTATACAGACGATGTTCTTCATCTATGCCAAGTTTCAGCGAGATCAATGCAGCCATTCTGGAAATACCTTCTAACATCCATCTATCCGTACATCCAAACACTCGCATTTATAATATTAGTAAGATTATCTTAAACATTATTGAAAATTGTTTAAAAAGAAATAATATATTAAAATATAAAACAGTTGTTACTAAAAAAATAAAGGTTTATTTATATTCAAGGATTTTAAAAGGGAATCCAAAGCCGATTATTAAGTGGTCATTTAAAAGTAAAAATAATGTTACGTTTTATGACATTAATGAAAACAAGGAAGATATACGTATTGAAAATATTACTAGCAATGAGGTCGGGACTTACAAATGTGTTGCGAAAAATGATATCGCTGAGGATTCTCACATTTTAGACTTAACTATTGAATGTAAGTAACTTCCATTGTTATCCAATCGGTCCATCGTGCGGGAGGATGGATGGATGGATGCGTCCGTCCTTGAGTGGCGGCCGCGGACGGGTCGACGCAGCGTAGGTAGGCCTCCCGCACTATGGACCATTATTATTATAACACCAAAATAAAAGCCCTGTCGCGGGATAATTAAGGACTCAACGATATGATACATTAAGAATTGAAGTAAACGAGTTTGAAGTGGTACTTAGTTGAGCCACCATGCCCAGACTGAAAAGTGTATGGTAGGACTCGCTCCATATTTTTGCTATCGTTACCTAACTGCGTATAGGGCGCATAAGGGCCTTTCTTCTCTAAGTTTTAAAGCCCGATAAATGTCATAAAATCTCATTAGCAGTTAGTTTCTAACATTAAGATCTCTGTAAAATAAATCGTCATCCCTTTCATTAGCTACAAAAAAACAGAGATAACAATATATTTTAAACAGATATTTTTGTTTCAGAAATGCATGCTAAGTTAGTGATCTATCTAAAGCTTAATGATAATTTAGTTACCAATTAGAAATTCACTTTTCAGATGCTCCTATCGTCCTGGGACAAAGCAATGTTGATATCAATCAACAAATTGGGCAAAATATTTTAATATCCTGTGATATTAAAGGAGAACCAGAACCGATTATCAGTTGGTTTTTTAATGGACTAATGATCGTGGAATCTAAATATTACCATATAAACAAGGATAACGCCTTAATGTAAGAATATCTATTCAATAGTTTTGACAGATGGACGGACAACAAAGTGATCCTATAAGGGTTCCGCTTTTTCCCTATGAGGTACGGAACCCTAAAATATTAGATAGTTTTTGTCATGTAGTATTTCAAAGTGTATATTTTTATGAGTAAACGTAGTCCTATATCTTCTGAACGAAGCGACGATCAAAATACAAGCTAGGCCTATTTGTGTTTCCAGTACTGCATTTGCTTATAAAGAGAAATATTGGGTTCGTCCATTCTGTACGGAAATTTTTGATGTTAAAAATTCAGCTCGCATAAACTTTACCGTCGAAAACGTTGATAAAATCAAAGAATGGAAATTTGATTATATTTAAACTATATTTACCCACTTTTATCTGATTAATTAAAATATTATATTATAACTAATTTTAACATAAAAATAATGGACAACTTTTTCCTCAAATTAAATACTAATTTATTTTTTGTTATGAGTTACGCTAAAATAAACCATAAAATATATATTCACTTACTCTTATACTATAATAGCGGAGCATCTTGTAGATATAGTAATAAAATTTTTACAGTTTCGACGCTTCTATTGCTACTATGGGAGAATATTCTTGTACAGGTGTAAATAAGTTAGGATCTGTTGAAAAAACTGCAAACGTAAGCGTTTTTGGTAAGTTTTAAAAACAATACTAGTAATCTAACTATAATTATCGCTAAGGATTTTATAACGAGGATCTTTTATGGTTGTTCATGTGTTTAACATGCCCAACATAACTACGGTTATATACAAAATAACTAAGTTTTATACCCCTAGTATTTCCTTAATAGATTTATTAAAAGTACAGGTAAAGTAGCCTTCACATTCGTACAAGAAATAGATACTTTTTTTTTAATTTCGCTTGCATGAAACCTTCTTAAACATTTCTATTTTTCAGAGCCACTAAAGATTGACACAGGAGCTAATATTCAGATAATTAATATCGAGGCTGGGAGGCAGTTAAGTCTATCTTGCCCAATCAAAGGGTATCCACCACCAAAGATACGTTGGTCATTCCTTTCAATAAACTTGACCGACCCCCGGTATGATAATAATACCTCTATTAATAAATAAACTCTAACCTTTAGTATCATTCGCTTTGGCATTTTACTAATCTTACTTCTTACTAATATTATAAATGCGAATATTTGGCTGGATATTAGCTTGAACGTATCACCAGAACGACTGAAAGGATCCGGCTGAAATTTGGCATAGATGTAGAGAATAGTCTGGACGAACACATGGCTACTAATTTAGTTTTTTTTTACTATACCAGATTATGCCGCGGGAGACAGCTAGTTTAATATAAACTAAAACAGAGCTGTTATTATTAATAACTAGCTATCGCCCCTGACTCCGTCCGCGGGGATTAAAATAAAAACAGTTAGCCAATGTGTTCTTCCAGACTATGTTCTACGTCTATGTCAAATTTCAGCTGGATCCGTTCAGCCGTTCTGGAGATACCTTTAAACAAAAATCCATCCATTCATCTAAACATTCGAGCAGAAAAACAGCGAAGTGTCAGCTTTCCGTAGTTGTCTATAATAACTTTGGCTGCTATGTGTTTATGAGTTAATTAACTAACTTACTACTGTTTTAGGGTGTATGTATTTAACAGTACGTAGAGAAATACTATACCCTATTATACGTCCCCTTCCTTGTAAAATCAGCTTTTGTTTCAGAAATCTTAGCAGCAATGTGCAGCTCGCACAAATTCCAGAAGTTAAGACAAGCGACAGCGGTTTCTATACTTGCACTGTGGTTGATTCCGGTGATACAAAGGCCTTTATGTTTTCAGTTAATGTTATAGGTAGTGTCATAAGTTTAATATTTATTTATTCAATCGTTCGTTGTTTAAATTTCAGATAGCGAAGGAAATTTAATTCCTCTTAGACGTACCACATTTTCTAGCCTTATTAAATTCATACTGTTATTAATAGTTAATAAACCTAATAAAAACATCTTGTTCAAAAAATAAAATACGTTTTCAAAGTAATTTATTTTGAACTTTTATTTTAATTACTTTTTATAATTACTTCTTTAACTTATAAAAAAAACTATAATATTTTTTCTTTCTTAACTAAAGTATGTTTCCATTGTTTTAATTTTTTTCAATTACTTTTTTATAATACATTGTTGGCTTTATTTATCTTTTCACAGAACCAATCAAGTCAACAGTAAGGAAAATTAACGCTGTTGATGGAGACAAGTTCTTAAGATTATCATGTAAGAGTGCTGCAGAACCAAAGTCGACAATATCATGGTTCAAAAACGATGCACCTATAACTATTGGTTAGAATAAATATTATTTATTATAAACTATCTGTCGCCCACAACTCCGTCTGCGCGAAATAAAAAAAAAACTTATTAGGCTATGATTTACATCTATGCCAAATTTCAGCGAGATTCATGCAGCCGTTCTGGAGATTCTAACAAACATCCATCCAACCATCTAAACATTTGCATTTATAGTATTAGTAAGAAGTACGATATTAATAAGATTAGAAGTTTGTATTTTTATCGTGGATACCTACATTTCTAAGATTTCCCATGCAGGTAATGAATGGCATAGTTTGGAATCAGATGGGAGTTTACTTGTTAAAGGGGTAAAAACAACTACCGCAGGAATATACGACTGTGCTACTCGTGATCGCAGCAAAGTTTTTGAATCTTATGAAGTGAACATTTCAAGTAAATATGCTTTTTTTTCTTTCAAAGGGGAATGCTTTATGCATACTCCGTGCCCCGGGGGGTGGGCACGGTAGTTATGTGAAATTCTCTTCCAGATGGGAAGCATACCCCCTAAACCCATCTGTTCCTCATACGCATGATGGCGAGGTCACGGGCACGCTTTTGGCTTTCATCCGCATACAAATATGCTTTGTTTACCATAACCATGTACAAATCCTAGATATTTTTATTTTACTAAATAAAAGAAAAGAAAGAAAAACTTTGATGTCTTAGAGTCTATATAATTTGTTTAAAATACCAACATTTTTTTTATTATTGTAATATTAGCAGATTTTTTGTAAATTTTGCTAATATTTCTTGTACCATTCCAAATAAGCTCTAGGCTTGTGCTAGGATATGGTTTACGACAATAGTCGAAAGGTGGGATTCAAACCCCCGACCTCGTGATCGGGAATTTGCACCCTTAACCATTAGGCTATTGGCGCTTCTACACCATTATACTATACTATATGTAAAGTGATCTTAAATGAAGCGATTATAAAACTTAAATGAAATATATGAAGTAATCATATTAATTACTATTTTAATTTGAAGATTATTTACTTTTGCAGTGTACCCGGATGTAAGAAATCGCGATTATAGTATAGAATATTTCATAGAAAATGAAAATGGTACAGTACCATGCAAAGTATCGGAAGAGAACAATGATTATGTACGGTGGTACAAGGTGATAAATATTTACTTTTATTATATTGAATTTCTACTCTTATACACCATATTCTAATATTCTAAATAATATGAACAGAACAGTTCGATACACACTAACCGGACAATAGAATTAACTGCTAATAAACCTTCCTCTTTCTTTCTTTTTTTTTAGAAAAAAACAGTGGTTAGATTTGGTAAAAATATAAATTTGGATCCATATAATAAAAGAAAACATGAAGGAAAATATGTATGTCGAGCTAATAATCTGTTTGTCTCTAAAAATGATGGAGTTGATATTAAAACGGGATCTATACCAAAATTCCAGTTTGTCAAAGAAACTTTGATAGAAAATGTTTTATTTGACCAGGCCCCAGATCTGAATTGTGCAAATAGTGGACAACCAAAAGCAGAGGTAACATTTCCAATATTACTTTGATTAAAAAGTTTCTTGAGGAACGTTTCAAAAATTTTGTGAGAATTGGGGAACTCAATACTTGTCGTTTATCTATAATTATAAAATCGATTTTTGATTTACATTGGAATATGCCACCCATGCTGTTGCTGTGTTTTCTTTCGCGTGAGCTAAGACTTCTTAGAAAAGTTTCTTCGTTTGTCACTGCACTAGTAGACAAAGTGAAAACCTTCTTAATTTTGTTAAAATTAAAAAACAAATAATAACAGTGTCCCATTAAACAGGTTTTATGGTGGAAAAATGATATAAGAATGAATTATAACGACATGACCTATTTTGTCAATAATAAGGTAAGCGACAGAGGCAAATATAGATGTGTTGCTAAAAATAAATTTGGAAATGTTAGTCGACAATTTACTGTAACAGCTAATGGTGAGTTTTAAAATATAAATTTTCATTTATATTTATTTTCAAAGCTAAAATTAAAATTCAATATTTTTCTTTGAAATATTTACCATCCATAAAGATGTCTTCTATTAACTATATAAGATACCTTATGTACTAAAACTTTAAAAACGCAAAAACAAGAATTTATGATCTCAATATAAAGAGTAACAGCCACAAAGACATTCTCAGACAATACAAACATACATATAAGCCAATCATCCTAAAATTCCGCTACGCTATAGACCACTCCTAATCAAGAAACCGTAAGTCCCTCCATCAGTTGTCTGGCATTGGATAACTTTAGTTAATTAGGTATCAATAAGACTGTTTAAATTTGTATGGTTTAATGTTACAGATTGCTTGTTAAATATAGGAACAGATTTTGATATATATCATCCACTTATATTAACTGAGAGTTATGAACTACCCGATTTTTATATAAAAGACGAACACGTAGCTATCCCTATTAATACAACGGTTCAATTTTACTGCGAAGGGGGTTTTAATAGATTTATTGATGAATCAGTAAGAGCAACATGCAGAGAAGGTCAAACTTTTGAAATAAACAGAGAAATTATTGAATATCGTAAATTAAAATGTAAAAAAGCGTTGCAGCCGGTAACGGTACAAACAGTTGATTGTGTTAGAGGCGAAGGAAAACTTTTTCAAATCGGTTTATCTGTTAAAGATTTTATAGAGGTGTATCGAATATGTTTTGATAAGAAGTTTAGATTTTTATATACCGAGCATAATATAAAACCTTGGGCGGCAGATGTAAGTGCCACAGGTATGCAAACAGAAAAATGGTTTCATAGTGACGTGATAAATTACAATAATAATGAAATGTACGATTGCAAACGACAGAAGGATGGTATATCTGCAATCATTGGTCAAGCATTACAAGGCAATGATGATGAGTGCTATGTCGCCAGACAACTTATAAATGAAAAAGACGTACCACCTGGCTTCCCGCAATTATTTACACATAGCTACCTTAATATTATCCCACATTGGAATTCTGATGCTACAAGAGTAAGTACGTTTTTTGTTACAATAAAAATAGCTATTTAATAATTAATATACAAATAAAATAACATCGAATGTCAAAAATGTTACCCATTCAGATTCAGAATATGCTAACCCATAAACATAGTGCAGAAAATAATAACTTTATCAGTGGGGAAAAAACTGTGAATATTTGAGGTCTTTATCGGACTAACTTTTCGGTGAAACCAGACAATACAAATGAGCTATTATTGTTTTTAGATAATGTTTTTATTTAATTATTGTGTTATAATGACATTCATTAATTTATTTATATATTTATAAAACATTTCAAAAATATATATTTCTATTCGAATTTATTATACAAGGTGATGCTTAATTGAAAGTTTGCTGCGGTAGAGGACCTCAATATCGTTCTGCGATTTTCTATAAATTTAAAATTATTTTTATAAATGAAATAAATAAAAATCCAATATATTTGTCCTTGCTTCCAAAAAATTGCATTTACAGTAGTAGTTTTGTTTCTTGATAACTAATTAATTTCATTTCCCAAATTTGACATGCAGTAATTATTATTTACACCAAGTTTTTCTTTACAAATTATTAAAAAAACTGCACCCATGCCTGTATAATACCTAAAAAATCATTCGACGAAACGGAACGTATCTTTTGACTACGTTGGCTTAGAAGTTTGAAACATTTTCAAAAGAGCGCGAAATTTTCAAGAGACAGCAGACTTGAGTATTTGATATAAATTTCAGCTTGATACCTTCACGAGGTCCTAAAAAAAGGGTCTTGATAGACAGACGGACGAACAAAGTGATTCTTTAAGGGTTCCGTTTTCTTCCTTTCGACGTACGGAACCCTAAAAAACGAATTTAAATAATTCATGATGATTCCCATTTCAGTATTGGAACATGTTAGAAAATATAATTAGAGCCAAAACTAAAAATAGAATTAAAGGGCGCACTGTAACTGTAATAACAGGAGTGAATTATTCCGTTCCCGCGGGACAAACTCAAATTATAATTACAGATAAAGCTGGAAATTCAAGCAAAGTGCCGATATTTTTATGGAAGGTATGTCATATTAAATTTTATTAAATACTACCTGCCGCGACTCCATCCGCACGAATTAAAAAAGAATAATTGGTGGCCTAGAGTTTTTCCAGACTATGTTCTAGATGTATGCCAAATTTCGTTAAGATCTGTTGAGCCGCTCTCGAGATACCTTCAAACAAACATCCATCGATCCATCCATGTAAACATTCGCATTTATTTTATTAGTAAGATGTATGTCTTTTTATGGAAAACATTGTGTAAATATTTTTAACCGAAGTTAAATATAACAGTGGTAGAGCCCGCTTTAACATCTTCGCACGAATTGGCCCGGCTCGCCCGGTGAAATACCACGACCACACAGAAGACAGGCGTGAAGTGGAAGCAATTCCGCGTTTCGTCTGATGAGTGTGAGTCCCAGAGACCTAACGTAGTCCTCTTTCCCTTCCCACCGTTTTCTTATAAGGAAAGGATGGGATGTGGAAATGGACTTTCCGGATGTGATTATGCATGAAAAGGGAATATGTTTTCTTTCTGTGCATCCTCTCCTGCGTCGATTAAATGTAGGCAACGCATATGCAATTGCGTATGTCTATGGGCAACGGTCACTTCGCTATTTCAGCGATTTCAGGTGGCCGCTCGCTCGTTTGCCACCCTAAGTTTTTGTTAATGTTTAGGCCCTTTGTTTTCTTTTCTGTTTCATTATAGAGGATTTTTTGGTTGGCCTGTATATGCCAAAAAAATGAAATGCTGTAAAAACATTGCTGACAAGTTCGATTGTAAAAATTATCTAATTTGTTTTGGTTTAAATTTCATTACGATCTTTCAGGTGATTACAGATTCACTCACAGCATCATCGGTAGCAATCGTTCAAATAAATGCACCGGCCACGTTGATAGAAGAAATTAATAACTATAGAGTCTGCGAAAGCCAATGTAACCAAATAACATGGATAAAAGAAATCGACGAGGAATATTTAAAAAGTGGCTTTATGCTCTGCTGTGACATTGTACAATTCGAAAAAAATTTTCACTTTAAGGAATTATTTAATAAAGGTTATAGAAAGCTTTTAACAAGTTTTGATTATTAAAAAATAAAGTTATTTCATTTTTTTCAATTAAAATCCCTAGTTTTTTTTTTCTATACTGGAAATATTAAAACAAGAAAGCAGCTATTCCGTGTCGATAAAGTAACAAAGCGAACGATGTTTATCTACAAAGAGATGAAAAATAAAATTAAAAAACCTAATTTTTTAACCTTTTAATTGACGAAAGAAAAGATTACAGAAATAGGATATTCCGCTTTCTAAACACCTTTCCCATACTTAATCGACTTTTACATTAAAAAAAATATTAACTTACCAAAAATATTAATACTGACTAACATTATCTTTAGATGTAAGTGTCAAAATGGCGGGTGTATCAGTGATGAAGTCAAAATGATGCAGAAATAATTAGGAGACATTTTGAAAATGTTTCAAGTTTTATTTTCTTCCGACCCGCACCACCTCTATGACTTCAGTTATTGTCAATAATAAAACAAAATAAAGAATCTATTTACGTTATGCAAGCATTTGCATTTGTCCAAATGGTATAATTCCCGTGAGTCATGTTAAGAAACCAAAAATAAACTGAAGAGTCTCATTTGTTAACTTTCATCATTTATTCCGCTGACGCAGCAACCTATCATTTGCAGCTCATGCGGATTCATCTCTACCCTAAGTTAGTCCTAATAGAAGTGAAAGTTTAAAGATAATAATGAAAACGCCCTTTCATACAATGTACATTATTAATTGTAGTAGGTAAATATTGGTTATAAATAGCTTTCATTTAAAAAAAAAATTATATAATATCACATAGTCTTCATTTATTGTTAGCCAACTCACTCTGTACAATTAAAAAATCGTAATTAGTGGGCTATGTGTTCTTCCAGACTATGTTCTACATCTATGCCAAATTTCATCGTGATCCATGCAGCTGTCGTGGATATACCTTCAAACAAACATCTGTTCATCCATCCATCTAAACATTCGCATTTATAACATTAGTAAGAAGTAAGATAATAGGATTTATTTATTATTTTAACCCTAACATATTGTACACTTTCAGATATTGATAATTTGAGCTTTGTTACTATAAATAGCGTTGTACGAGTTAACAATAACTTAGTTTATCGTCGACACTAACATCAATCAGTCGTGCGACATGTCAAATAAAATTAGTTACATTTTTTTAACATTATGTCTGAATTGTATATTCGTATTAGGACAGTTAGCAGATCAAAAGAGCAGTTTCGCTTTTGTGATAGATGACACCGGATCAATGGCAGATGATATTGCTCAAGTGTTAAGTAAAACAGAACTAGTATTCGACAAGATTGTAGCCTCTGGAACATCATCGATTGGAAATATTATTTTAGTAACATTTAACGATCCGTGTAAGTAAGATATTTTTATAATTTTTAAAACCCTGGGTTTCTAACACCAAAATCACTGTTAAAATATTGTTATCTCTGTTTTGTCAAAAATTAAAGACAAGGATGAGGATATATTTATACAGAGATTTAGGTCAGAAACCCATGGTTACTGTTGCTGCTACGAGCATAATGTATTTGCAAAGTTTACACATAATAAAAAAGCTACATATATATAAAGAGATATCGAAATAGTACATAAACCTATTTTTTGTGCCATAAGGTGTCAAACGAGCAATGCGATCCTTATCAAAAAGGAGTTAGGAAATAACCCATTCATATAAGAGTGACCATTACCCCAGTGACATTTAAAAAAAATCAGAGTAAAAATTACAGGAAGTCAAAAATAGTGAAAGTACCTATATTTTTAAGAAAACATATTATGTATTTTATTTTATTTGAGGACGAGGTAACCCAAAAATCTTATATATAAAATTCTATACTATTCTATTCTATACTCCTCCGAAACGGCTTGACCGATTCTCATGAAATTTTGTAAGCATATTGAGTAGGTCTGAGAATAGCGACAGCTAGTAATGCTATAAAATTCTATAAACTACATTTTTGTGGTTCCGATCAAATTTAGTTGTAAATCAGCTTTTTATAATTCTTCTACCACAAACGATTAGTATTGTGATTCTCGATATCTATTAAACTTAAAATTTTGTTATAGACACGTAATAATTAAATAGCGAACTACGACAATCAAGAAATATTATAAAATATTCAGATAGTCCGCGAACTTTAGTAGCAATATTACAAACTGTTTACATTACTGTTATCAACAATTTGATTACACAGTTAATATTGCGGTATTCCCCCTTCGTACAATATATCGAAAACTTACGTCATGAGTTTTTTTTTAGTTTATCATAAAAACTATTTTCTCGCATACATGAATACTCGCGTAATAATGGGGTTGTTTATTATAATAAGTATATTACCTAGTTAGGTCAAAAATGTTTTTCCTTACTGTTTTTGAGATACTTGGATTTGAATAATTCATCCAAAGGTTAACTAAGGTCCATAAACATTTATAACATGCAGTACATACATCACAGTCACATAAATTTTAATTTATAAATAGAACAGACTAGATTTTACATATTTACTAAAAAGAAAGAAACTAAATCTCAAACAGGCACTAGTGATAGAGAAATAAAAAGCAAAAACTTAGCATGGCATGAGTACGTTGTAAGGAAGGTAGGTTGTAAGTGTACACCGGTAAAGGTAAGTCTAGAAAGAGATGAATGGATTGCATGAAAGGTGTCGTGATTAAAAAGTTCTGAAGATTGAAAGAACGGAAATTGATCGAACTACAGAACAAAAACCCGGTGCGCCAAGTCTATTTGAGTTTCATAAGGACAGGGGAGATGATAGATTTTGTATTACTTACATTTATAGATGTTCGACCGGTACTCATAACCAGAGACGTAAATACATTTAAGGCGAGATTACACTCAGTCGTTGTCGACGGTGGAGACGATTGTCCAGAAATGGCGATGTCGGGAATTGAAGCGGCTTTATCAAATTCTCTGCCAGGATCCTATATTTATGTTTTCACCGACGCTTCCGCTAAGGACTACGACAAATTCCCAAAAATCAAGAGAATGGCACAAAAACAAGGATCTCAGGTTAATTATTAATAACAAATTTTTACGACAGAACAGAAAAAAACTTTGTCAGATCTTGATTTTATAAGTATAAAAACAAGCCAAAATTACCTCTCAAAACTCGTAGACATTCAAGTTGATTTTAAAATGTTCGAAGAAGATATTTCTCAGTGAGCTTTATCCACTTTTATAATGTTCGCATAATCAGTAAAATCCGATAATTATTATATTTAACAGGCTATGAGCAAGAAAGTTTACGTTTATATAATTTATTTCTTTTACAGATTGTGTTCTTGCTAACGGGAGAATGCGATTCTTTTGGTGAACTTGATCCTGGTTACAGAGTATACCATGAATTAGCCAGTGCTACTTCGGGACAAGTGTTTCGTATTGATAAAGGCGAAATTGGTCAGGTAACATTATGATTAGTAACTAAGCATTTGAAATGAAGTCATTGTGTTATTTGCATGAAGGTTAAATAGGTAATTTATGAAATCACAATTAGTATATAATTTATATATAAATAGTAACGGTGAAGAAAAACATCGTTATGCAACCTGCACATATCTGAGAAGAAATTAAAAGATATGTGTGAAGTCAACCAACCCGCACTTGGCCAGCGTGGTTGACTATAGCCTAATCACCCTTAGGGCAGGCTCCGCGCCCCTCGGTGGGGACGTATAGTGAGCTGATGATGAATGAGCGACCACAAAAACGTATGAATAATTACATCAAAAACCAATTGACATATATCACCTGGTAGCGTGGACTTCTTAAGAGCGAAGTTAATGAGACTTTAACAAAATTGGTTTGATTTAAATCTTACTTCTTATTATCATACTATAATAATATTATAAGTGCGAATGTTTAGACGGATGTATGGATGATTGTTTGAAGGTATATCCGGAACGGCTTAACGGTATTTAACGAAATTTGGCACACATGGAGAACATAGTCTGGAAGAACACATAGGCTACTTATCAAGTTTTTATTAATTCCGTGCGGACGAAGTCGCGGGCGACAGCTAGTGATATTATAAAAAACAATTTCAGGTGTTAGACTTCGTAGGCAAAACTCTTGATCAAAGACGAGCCGTGTTGGCTTCTTCAGTATTTTCACCTGGATACGGCAAAAACTTAAGCGTAAGTTTATCATTATTCTATGTCCGTTTATTACGACATACTCTGATAAATTAAATATTATTGCATCTTATATAACACTAAAACCTTCTCCTATTGTTAAATAAATCAAAAATATTATAAGCCTGACTTTCCCTCCTTAATTTACGCTTAAAACCAAAAAAACTATGAAATATATATTAGAACAATAAAATATTTTTAGATTTTTTAGCGCAGAAACAATCATCCTTTTATCATCCTCTGTTTGTACAGAGTTACATGAAAAGAGAAATGGGACAAACCCCTTTATTTTTATTTACTATATTTGTATTTTTATTACCGATAGAGGATAAAAATAGAGATTAACACATTTCTATGTTAACGGCCACATCAAAGAGGACATCGTTGTAATCATTAACATAATTAATAAGGAGATTTCCGCACGCCTCATCGACGCCTCAGGGGATCCAAGGACTGGCGCGCATTTCGGACAAAGGTTGAGCCTGACCATTCAACGGGGAAATGCCGCCAGTCTCTTGGGAACCCTACCGTGCGAACGCAGCGATTTAGGGTCTTTTTTTGTTTTGTAGTTGTTAGTTATTTAGTAAGATTATATTTTACATAATTAATATTGGCTTAATCTTTCAGTTTCCTGCTGACCCAGAAATAGACGATGTGCAAATATCTGTGTCAGGTGTTAGTCCGAAAGTTAAAGTATTAAAACCAGACGGAAGCGACTCTAAAACAACTGATATATTCAAAAACGATGAGACTCTGGTACGATTATTAGTTTATTTTTCAAATCAACATTCTTTGTGTGACAAAAATGCCTACGTATCTACAGGGGCAAGAGCGGATTACGTCGGAATCACAACGACTAAAAACCTAATAGTGTTCCCCATCCACATATTGGGGATGCGAGAATACTTGCGCACACATCCGTGGCCTCGCCTACGGGAACTGCCGAGAAAGCTTCGTCTTTGACGAGGACAAGCCTCCGCAAAACCTCGTTCAGAAGGACGCGCCGGAACACACAACGCCTCTCCTATAAGGCCTTTATACGCAGATGACGGGTTTCTAGAAACCGCCATCTTAAAGCCAGCCCCAGCGTTGGATCTAGTTTTAGGCTCCGCTGCAGACGTGATATGTTCATAACGTAAACCTTCTGAATCACAATTTTATTTGTATTTTGATGTTACTGTACACGGCGCGCTATACACATACAGACTACAATTGGTTTTATAGAATGTACGGCTGCATAGAATCTCCGATGGTAAAGTTTTAGTCTATTTTTAAGGTAGTGGGAGTTGAAAAATTAGGCTCAGGAAAACATACGGCGGAGGTTGGCAGTGAAAGTAAGACGAGGGTTGTCATAACCGGAGTCACTGCTATCAACTTCCAACATGGTTTTACTGGTTTAAAACCCACTTCTATTAAAACCACTGTAACCAGACCCATTGCAGGTAATTTAGCCTGTTTGCCAATTTTTTATATTCTGGGGCGAGCTTCCTCACACGTGCTAGTCCCTTATTGTCATAGAAAAATAAAACCGAAAAATCTAACGCTAACATATAGTTTGTTCTGCTATAAAATTTAAAATAATACAATTAATTACTAGTATGAAATTTATTAATATTTTCTGTTGTAAAATGTACATCTTACTATTTTATGTTTAGATGGATGGATGGATGTTTGTTTGAAGATATCTCCAGAACGGCTGAACGGATCACAAAATACGGAGATACCTTCAAACAAACATCCATCCATCCATCCAAACATTGGCATAATATTAGTAGGTGCCATTTTGTATGCCCATGTGGATTTTACGTTTTTTATGACAAAACTAACCGATAGCAGAGCATCTCTCCCCGAGTCACATATCCTCGTTTCACTATAGTTAGTATAATACGGTATGTTTTAGGTAAACCGTCATTTTTGGCAATAGAATTATCAAATAAAGCCAAGGATGTTATATTAAATGAAGTTGAATTATTAGATCTAGATAATAACGTTATTGGTGTACGACCATTAAAACAAGTCGACAAAAATTTCTATGTGGCTGATAAAGATCTACCTCCAACTTCGATTTTTAGAATAGCGGTGAGTTACTGAAATACTTTGAAGTGTCCAATGATTGATTTTTTCCATCAACAAAATTGATTACTAATACTCAATTATTTTAGGTGAAAGGCTACAATACAAAGACGAAAGAACCAATAAAACGATTATCGTTTACCCCTATTGAACCTCAAACGCCTTCAACAGGTAAGATATTTAAATGGTTGCTTTCAGAAACCTAGTTTATTTTGAATCATGACACTTATCACAAGTTAAATTTAAAAATTTCAGAAGACATACCAGTAAACCGAGCACCGACCGTAACTTTAATTGGAGATCCTTTAAGAGAACAATCATACGGCGAGCCTTTGCAGCTGCAATGTAAAATCAACGCGTATCCTGCACCGAAAGTACAATGGATAGATGAAACATCTGGATTGACAGTTTCAGAATTGGTAAAGTTTTATTATACTATTATAGAAACGTTAACATTACAGATAATTTAAACATTAAAAATCATCTTTTTTCGACACTTTCATTCAGTTTTATATATCTATTTTATGATTGCACCCATTTTCAAATTAAGTTCATATATGTAATTGTTTCAACTATAAAGTAATTAATTGTTTTAGGCTGTAGAAGAAGAACTGCCGTATGATTACATTAGTATACTTGATCTACAGCAAGTGAAGATCAATACTTCTTATCAATGTCGAGCATCTAATGACTTTGGTCAAGACAATACCACAGTTACTGTGCGAGCTATTGATAAATTTGTAGTCTTGAACGTTTCAAAAGGTAATTACTTAATTAGATTTTATTGATTTACAAATTAATTTATTTTTCTATATAATGTTAGGAAGAAAATTAGACGTTGTGCCGATGTACTGGCGCAACACTAGCCTTAATAAAATGTCGAAGTTTATGTCCCCTCACTAATTATTCTGACACTTGCCTTAGTAACGAAGGCGCACCATTCGGGCCAAAGGATTCTAACTAATAATGTATAAAAATGATAAGGTGGCAAACGTGCAAGCAGTACATCCATCATAAACATCCGCAATTGCAGATTCGTTGGATACCTTTAATCATGGAGGAGAGGACGTATTAAAAGAGAATATTTCCCCTTCATTTGCGTCTTCCGCCAAATCCATAAAATTGCACCAGTTGAGCAGGCACATTCGTGTAACAGTTGATGTTGCTGCTGGCGATTACCACTGTTACAACTTGCATACTCCTAAGAGACTACATCTCTTCGATTATATAATTACTTACTTACTCCACTGGCGCATCGACCCAAAGTGGGTCTTGGCCTCCGACACAAAAGATCGCCAAAGTCGCCTGTCTTTAGCCTTCTCCTGCCAATCCATCGCTAATAGCTCCCGCAGATCCAGTTTTACGGCGTCTCGCCACGCCGACCGATGGGTCGGCGGCTAGTCGGGGTCCCGAGATACGCTGCCGAATATATAATTGATAGAAATTAATTAATTATTCGACTTTTCAGACACAAGTATTGACTACGATGATGAAGGAAAATTGTACTGCATAAGTAATGCGAATCCTCCAGCACAAGTTACATGGTACCTTAACGGAGACTTGTTAGATTTAGATGAAAATATAGACAAATCTGAAGATGGATCTATCCTCAATATAATATACATGAAACCAAAGTTTGAAGGAAAATACATCTGCGAAGTTAAAAACGAGCTCCATAGAGATATTTACTACATGAATGTTGTTATGACAGGAACAGGTAATTTATAGTTTATCCATTTTATGAAAAATTACAAGAGATTGTTGCCCTCAATTATTTCTATTAGTTTTATTTTATGAAAAAAAATGCAAGGCGAAGGATTTTATTATATTCTATAAGCATGGGCACAGTTTATGAAATAATTTTTAGAAAAAAGAAAATTACACCAATCGGAAAAAAAAATTCATTTTATTAAAATGACCGAAATTTTATTATTTATGCAATAAAGGTATAACGGCACGAAAACCCAACAATGGGGCTTGTTCAAGAATAAAATTACCGCTGTAATGACTCAATGTTTTAGACACACGGACAAAGGGTTTTTTTATGATTTTTTTTTACAAAAAATCAAATAACTTTTCATCTAGCTATTAAGGTCCTCTACCTTCATTAAGTATATGTTTCGTCCTTTAATAATTATCCTGTGATTTTTTCTAAATCTATAAATCTGACTGCTATATCAATATTAGTAGTGCATTTATTAAATAAAAGTACTAACTTGAATAATATTTCTACATTTTAGCTGCACCGAAAATCGATGATTCCGTCACCAAAGTCAACGTAACTAGGAAAGAAAATGCTACAATTAGTTGCAAGTAAGATTATGTTTAGAAACCATTAGTGATAAATAACCTTGACACTCATACTGAGATATATAAACAAATAAGGATTCGAGCCGGTTCAGATTGTTGATATCGAGTAATAAATACTTAGTGTAGTTTTAAGTAACATTAAAATAAAACAGTCTGCATAAATCTAATGTCGACACAGATTGCTTGACTTATTATTTGACTAGTCTTTTTTACTTTTAAATATAATGAGATAGATGAGAATGTATATTAATACAAGTGGCAACATTCACTCGAAACTCGGCCTAATTAAGTCCTGTTTCCATTCCCACCCTTTTTCGTATAAAGAAAGGATGGGAAGTAGAAGTGAACTTTCCGGATGAGAGGATGCATGGGAACTGAAAATATTTTCTTTATGTGCATCCTCTCCTCCGTCGACTAAAGGTGCAACGGTCACTTCGCTATTTCGGCGATTTCAGGTGGCCGCTCACTCGTTTGCCACCTTATGATATATATAAAAAAAAAAGCTTATGTTGACTTGTGTAGAAAAGGCCTTAATAAAAATGACACGTCAATTAATATTGAGTCAAGTAAAATGTAATATTTATTTTTTCTATCTTTGCTTTTTTTTTCTTTAACGGCTGGCTTTTAAAAACCATTTAATCTGACTGGATTTAAAACATTTTCACAGCGTCACTGAAGGTATACCTCAACCAGACGTCCGATGGAGCTTCAGACATCGTTACGCTACAGACTTCGTTGTCCTCGATACTCATTCGGATACGCTTGAAATAAGTAACACAGATATAAATGCTGCAGGAACTTATAAATGTGAAGCATTCAATTTGTTCGGACAAGCTGAACACGAAATAGAATTAGTAGTTAAATGTAAGTACTGTAAACTGTATAATTAAATTTATAACTAACATGTTGTTGGGTGTAATATCATCAAACACAACAAATATCATTATTAGTTAACTACTCGTTAATAAATTAGTCGTGCAATTTTAAAATTATATTTATTTAAAGTTATAGAAATTTTTAAATGAGTCACATTAAACACTTTTTTATTTTAAGATCCGCCAAAAATAACATCGAAAAGGCAAACAATAAAAAATAAATCAGGTACAAATATTTACTTAAAGTGCGAAGTGGATGGAGTGCCGCAACCAAATGTTAAATGGACATTCAATGGAGTCGAGATCAAGAAATCTTTACGACAACGTATATATAGAGACAACATGTTGGGGTAAAATTTTTACTGACTATTTTTATAACTAACTAGCTGTCGCCCGCGACTCCGTCCGCATGGGTGTATAAAAAAATACTTAATTAGTGTAGCCTATGTGTTCTTTCAGACTAAGTTCTATACGTATGCCAAATTTAATCGAGATCTGTTCAGCCGTTCTAGAGATATCTTCAAGCACCCATCCATCCATCCATCCACATCACATTGAATGTTGACGTTTTATCATCGGTCTACCTAGGCCCATTATAAAACACAGGTATACACCGCCGAGATAGGCACGTCCAAACTTCTTGCTTCTCCCTTGTCGTCAATGCCACAGACCATCGATGCTTGAGGTACGCAAGAAGGTCACCAGCTGAGCGGTACTGACGGTCACTATCGGCTGGGGTCCTCCGGCTACCTCATATCTGGCAACTAAGGAGCACATATCCTAACCACAATGTGAACGTGACTTGTGAACGTTTAGAGATTGCAGCTCCCTTCGCACTGATATCTGGCGTAACAGGACTTTTGGCGTTTGACTTACAATGTTTTCACTATTCCTATAATAATATGAATATACTGGTGAATTTGCTTAGTTTAAAGACAAATAATTTTAATAGTGTATGTATTTACAGTATGAAGGCTTCAGTTACCGACTCGGGAATATACAATTGTACTGCTGTAAATGAGCTAGGATCCGATACTATAACAGTGGACGTTACAATATATGGTATGTACTGAGAACATTATAAAATATATAAATAGAAATGTTTTAATACCTATTATTTCTCCACTATGCGATTCTAAAATATAAACGATATGCGGTACATGTAGCAAAATATCAAATCTTTTATGTAACAAGTTTGGTTTTGATTCGAATGAAACTGTTCACGCGTTAGCTGCCGTGTCGGACCATATGTCCGACAAGCTAATGTTTCAATCAGGCCGTGTCGAACTTTGGGTCTGACAATCCATACTTCCATTCAACGCCTCGCTGTGGTTTACTCTTAAACGAGATTTAGGCTAAGTGCCATCTGCGCTCGGCCACCTCAAATGTAAATGCCTCCTCAAGGCAAACAGTGGCAATCAGTCACAAAAAAAAACCTCACTGTGGCTTGTCGGACGCTTTTTAATCGAATTGTTGTATACAGCGAGACCCACAAGGCGTGTCGGACTATATATCCGACGAATTGTAAATATGTAAATAATAAGTATATGCGCAATGTAAATAAGGTATTATTATATTTTTAGGTGTTTTCAAATGGTTTTGGACAAAGTTATTTATTTTTTTCGTTTTTCGAAAAATCATTCTGCCAACTAACATGTTAAGGATGTTTCAATTGCAGACACAGTAAGAATTACGCCACCGATTAAAAGTACGTTGGAAACAAAAGTCGGAAGCACTATTGTTCTCCCTTGCGAGGCGTTTGGATATCCTACGCCAACTGTAAAATGGATCTTCATTAAGGAGAATAACCATTCCGAGGTACTAAGGTAATAAAGAATTTACTTCTTACTGTCTTGCTTGCTGTCGTCCGCGATTCCGTCCGCTCTTACTTAAAAAATATCTTAATTAGTAGCCTATGTCTTCTTCCACACTCTCTTCCACATCTATGCCAAATTTCAGCGAAATCCATGCAGCCGATCTGGAGATACCTTGTAACAAACATCCATCCATCCAAACATACGCATGTATATTATTAGTAAGATTGTAAAATTAAAAATGAAGATAAACAATCTATTGACCTCTTGTATCCCTTATAAAATAATTACCATTTAATATTAGATGCCACTAAAATATTCTTTTTTGTTCTTTATGTATTTATTACCTATTATATACCTACCTATGTTATTTTGGTAACTAATTTTATTCCAGACCAAGTGATCCTTCAGGGTCGCTGCAGTTGCCTCGAGTGCAAACCGAACAAGGCGGTCAATATTTGTGCATTGCGGAGAACGTGGGAGGTTCAAGTAATATAACTTACACACTACAAGTATTAGGTAAATTTAATTGATTCTGTTTAAATAGTTGTTTATAAGTTTACTATCAAAGCGTCGGTGGCTCAGGAGTTAAGTGCTTGACTTGCAATCTGCATGTCCTGGGTTCGAATCCCGCCATTTACCAATGTGTTTTTCTATTTACGATTTACATATGTATCCGACGTTCTTACGATGAAAGGAAAACATCGTGATGCAACCTGCAATCTGAGAAGAAATTCAAAGATATGTGTGAAGTCAACCAACCCCCACTTGGCCGGTGTGGTTGACTATGGCCTAGTCACACCTAGCTTAGGGTAGGCTCCGAGCCCCTCGGTGGGGACGTATAGTGAGCTGATAATAACTAAGATATTATCTCTTGGGTGCTTTTAAAAATTTCATCAAAATAAATTTGCATTTACTCATTTTACAAATATAAACGCTATCGTTAAAAAAATTAAGTTATTTATTAATAAATAATTGAAAGAATGTTAAATATTAAAATGGAATTTTTAGAGTATAAAATCAGTGAATTTCGCTTCACGGATATTTTCACCCATATCTTTTAAAATTGTATGGTTTGTTTTGATGTTCAAAATAAACAATTTCTTTCAAACTTTACATCATAGGTACAATAAGTTAATATTACTAAAGAAATTTTTAAATTACAGCTCCTCCTCATATTGTAAAGTCTTCAGTACCTAAAAGCATCACTGCTGTCGTCAACGATTTAGTTTTAACCCTCCCTTGTAAATCCAAAGGAAATCCGAAGCCAAAAATTACTTGGTTAAAAGATGAACTTAAAATCCCTTCAGGTAACCTATTTAATATTATATTTTTTACATAATTTACTGTTTATTACCAGAAAGATTATAAGAAGACAATTGTCTTTTTTTTCAAAGGAACCTATTGGCATGATATAAAGGAGGATGGTACTTTGGTTATCAAGAATATCGACGATATAACCCAGGGCAGATATATCTGTGTGGCAGAAAATTCCTTGGGCAACGACAATGATTATTTCGATGTATTTGTCCAGAGTAAGTCGTGATACTTATTTTAATTTATTTCACAAAATATTCTACTTCCTAAGTGCATGTTATGTTTGACATTGTTGTAACAATAGTTTTTAAAAATACTAGATACTTTTCAAACATTCCTTGTAACAAGGAGATTTTTTGTGAAATGTTAAAATTATAATTTTGCAGATTATCCCGAGGCAAGTGAGAAACGTGGTGTCATGGATGTTCAACTTGGAAAATCGGTCAAAATTGATTGTGACATACCTCATACGCTCAGCGATCGGTTAACTTGGTATAAGGTATTTAGTTCAAAGGTTTCTAAGCGCGACTTTCTGATCACGAGGACAATTATATATTGGCAAAAAGTTCTTCCACTGTAAATTCGTAATGTAAAGTCAAAGAATTAAAATCCCTTAAAACCAAGGATCGAATTTTGTATATCAAACTAGATACAGTATAGTATAGAACAGAGAACATTTTTTATTATTATATGGTGGGAAAGTATCAGGACGGTTGAGTGAGCAGAAAGAGCGAAGCGACCGTTGCCCATAGACAACAGAAATTACAGATGTTTTCCCAACCTTAAATCAACGGAGAAAGGGTCGTATAGAAAGAGAACATTTCCCATTCTAATGCGTCCCCTCCTTTATCAAATCTTGCCATCCTCTTCCCATCATTTTTCTTATAAGAAAATACGCGGAATTGCCAATTCCCGCCTGACTTCTTTGTGGTCGTGGTATTGTAGTGGGCAAGCCTCATTCGTGCAACAGATATTGTTATATTTACGTAGAGAAAAATAATTTACAGGACTCATTATTGATAGCATCCGGTGAATTATATTTAGACAATATTAACATGGGAGACAATGGACTTTATACTTGTCGAGTTAACAACTTTTCTGGAGCGACGAGCGCCTCCAAGATAGTTAACGTTGGTATCCCGCCGTACTTCATTGAAGCAGCCAATGCAACTATACTGTATAAACCAGATGCTGAAGCTTATTTATCATGCCTCGCCTCCGGTGTACCAACCCCAGCTGTGAGTACAAATAATTTTAATTACATACTATTCTTAAGTACAATCAAAACAGTCTATAAGTTTGAATAACAAGGCAATAATTATGTTAATATTGAAGAGTATATTTAGACGATCCAGGTGATCTGCACTATATTTGACTTAAATTGAATACAAATATTCTATAATATTAATTACTATTTACATTTTCAGGTGACGTGGTTACATAATAACATACCAATAGAATTTACCGATATGGCTTACCGATTTTATATGAGTTCAAAAGACACGGGAAGTTACTCATGTCTTGTAAGCAACAGATATGGAACAATAATTAGAGATTTCAACATTATTCCAAGTTAGTTAAATTTAATTTCAATTTAAAAAATCTGATGAAATTGTCCTACATTAAACTTCCTTCTTCTTAATCTTCAGATTTTAGTTCAGTTTCTGTTTTTTAACATTAATCATTCGGAATTTTTTATTTTTTAAAGCAGTCACTTATTGCACAATTTATTTGATTGACTATACAAATTATTGCTCGTCTAGATACACAGCTTGTGGAAAACTTGTTGCTCAATTTACCAAACAATATATTGCACATTTAATTGCATTTTTCTATAGAGACATTTTAAATATCTTTCACAGAATGCTTCTTAAAAGTTGAAAGTAACCCTGATAGCCCAAAAGTTTCTATATTGGGTGCTAGAGATTTATCAGAGTCAAGCCATGTCGTTGTAAATGTTCAAGTAGGGGAAGAAGTATTAATCTATTGTACAAATGGCTTTGAAATATTCCCTGGAACCGTATTGGAAGCAATTTGCATTCAAGACACCATGCTTAAGATGGGAGATAAGGAAATTAATTACAGTGATATAAAATGTAGAAAACATATAACACCGATAACAAAACAGACTGGTAGACGTTGTAGTCCCACAAAACGGGATACAGAAACAATTAAAGTTGGAATTGAAACAGATGGAAAATTCGATGAAGTGTTTGAAATATGCTATGATAAATTTAATAGTGTACCTATTTATTCAACACAAAATATAAATGAATCTCTAGCGTTAGTAGAACCGAAAGATGTTAGATGGTATGATAATGATTTGGTAAGATATAATTTTGATGAATTATATGACTGTACAATTCAAATGTATCACATAAATGTAATCAGACCTTTAGCAAGAGGTTTTGATTGTTGTTTTACTAAAAGGCAATTAGTTAATTCGCAAGATGTTCCCCCTGGTGTGTCTCAGATCGCTACCTACAGTAATTTGAATATAGTGCCACATTGGAGCACATGTGGAACAAAGGTAACTTCAATTTCAATTTTTCTAATTAAGTATAACGCTTTTTCGCAAACCGTAGTCACCATTAATTACTATTTAATATCTTTTGAACATAAATAGACAGTGATTATTAAAGGCTTTTTTTATAATCAGGTTAAATGTAATTTTGTGTTTTTTTAAACAAACCAGAACTGGGACGATATTGAAATGAGAATAAGGATATTAGCAAAATCGCTGAATAGAAACTTGATTGTTAGAACTGGTGCTTCAGGGCAACTTCAAATTCCCACAGCGACGTTGAGTATGCAAAATATATTCATATACGATCGAAACAGCCGTCGACAGCCAGTTCCTAAATTCTTATGGAAGGTAAATGTATATTTTATTAGCATATTCGGCGTAAAATTCAAGAAACCATTATCTTACTCAATTTTACAATCATTAAATTCTTACAAATATTTAACCGATTTCAGGTTGTTCAAGATGAATATTCCGGGTCATCATTAGCCATAATTCAAGTCAATGTCCCTGATTTAAAACTATCGGAAGCTCTTCGTTATGTGGTGTGCAAAGATATTTGCAATTTGGTGGAATGGATGCAGAGTCCAGTGTGGCGTGACGTCAAATACGGTTTAACTTATTGCTGTACTATAAAGGATTTTGAAATAGCTTTTGGTTTAGAAGGACAATTCAGTAACGGTCTCGAAGGAATTTTCAGTGATACGTTAATGCTACCAGACACAGGGCGGCTTTTACTATAACATGGCCACGACCAATATTGAAATACATAATGTACATTGTAATAATAACAATCTAGTATTTACCACAAATTACACAGACAATTGGAAGATTATCACATGATCAAGTATTCTTTTATGATATTAAAATGTTAATTTAATTTCTGCACTTAATAATAAATATTATAAAAGCGCCTACTTATTTCATTCAGCAATAATTACTTGCAGTTTTAGAGCTATTGCTTTCCGTAAGTAAAGTAATTATTTCCGTATTAAAGTATAATAAAAAAACAACATATTTGTCGTCAGTTCGTATTTTATTGGCCAACATTTTGTTGTTTTTTTAATGTCAATGTTGCTCGTAGTAAAATACTTAAATTAGAATTGGTAGTCGTACTTTTTTTTCAGCTACTAATGTAATATAAAAATATAGATTTTTAAAGAATTGAAATTGAATGTCAACAATAATCATGTCCAAAGAAGAATAAGTTAAAAACCGCTTTAAAAGTTCGCCTCAAGCATAGTTCACGGACAACATTTGTTTCTGTGTTGTTACAAAATCTAAACTGAATGGTAATGATATTTTTACGACGCACGAATCGCTTCGTAACATAAAATTATTTAAACATTAACACGTTTATATTTTTAATGGTACACAAAATTAAGAGCATTACTCGCACATTAAAATATTCTCAACAATTTGATGTGCAGTCAAAGATTTAAATTCCCTTCCAATTAGGATGTAATGTCGAATAGCAAACTATCACCCAAAAGCTATAATTTAGCTATGACATTCTCAACCTAATTTTACTAATTATTACAAAGGCGTATTTTGTGATGGATGGATGTTAGATTGTATCTCTAGAACGACTGGAAGGATCTCGCTGAAATTTGGTATAGATGTAGAATATAGTCTGAAAGAATGTACATAGAAGAAAGATGTAGAATATAGTCTTAGTCCATGTGTTAAGGACTATCATTCTCTTCAAATCATTACCTTGTCCTTTTAACTTCAGGAGTTTGCACTATATAACTCATCCCTATCAGTGGTCATTCACTCCCTACTTATGCATACCATATTTCATACAATCTAGACATACTTGCACTTCAAATAATTTTAAGCGTGGCAGCTAAACAATTAAGCATTCAATATGTAAAACTATCCACATTGTTAGGAAGAAAATCCGACACTGCCGGTGTACTGTCGCAACACTAGCCTTACTAAAATGTCGACGTTTATGTCCCCTCACTTATCATTCTGACACTTGACTTTGTAACGAAAGCGCGCCATTCGCGCCAAAGGATTCCAATGTCTAAAAGTATAGAGTCGCACTTTTGCGATAGATTATTTATATATTCTACCAAAACATTCACGTTACGTCATTTCACAAAACATCTTATGTCATTTGTACTTGTCTCTAATTTATTAACCGTGAGTTTCCGAAACCAAAATCTCCGTTTAATACATATTGTTATCTCATTTTTGTCAAAGATAATGACAAGGATGAAGATATGTTTCTATACAGAGATTTTTTTGTCAGAAACCCACGATTCGAAGTGTACAATTTCAATGTCACATATTCATAATTTAAATTTAAATCGGTTCGCTCCATCGTTCGTCCTCACCGAATGAATATATTTAATTCGATTTTGAAATTTGCTATTGTGTACGGCATAATAACCGTAATAATTTAATTTATTTTATTATATTAATATGTAATGCTAACGTTTTATCGATTTTTGTTTAATTTATTTCATAACATAGGTGACTTGAAATATAAACGAAGGATGAAATTAAAAATATAACGAAGATTAGTGATGAAGGTTATTGCCATTAATAATTTAAGGTTATTGATTAAGTTTACTAAATATTATTTAATCCTGAATAATTTAAAAGTCAAATCTCCATAAGAATTCTCAATTTGAAAATGCAATCCTAGATCCTTTAACATATTTACCTCTTATCAATTTATATATCCGTACATACACATATATATTATCTATTTTAATTTATTTTGTTTTCTTTTCATTAAGTTAATTTTTTATTATATGTATACCGGAGCAACCGATAATTGTTAAATGCTATAATAAAATGTCGTGACCGTGGGTTGTTGTAATTTTGTGGACTGAATATTGTATACGTATCTGAATATCGGTGCCCACGATACAGGCATTGCCTAGTGTGGCCATCACTTGATTACCCAAATTAAACATAAATGGTAACTTAAGTTTAATTTAATTTCTCAATTATGTGCAATTTTTATATTAGTTATTGTTTTTTGGTTTAATCTTTACTACCTATAATAAAAACTTTTCTTTCTTTTTCTTTTCATAAACATGTCTATGGTAGTTTAGTAGATAAATTTATGACTATCTTATTTATAAGGAAGTGATGATGATATTCTATCAGTCTATCTGTCTGTCGCGATTTTAAAGATAGAAACTTAATTTTAAGGCTGTTAATTTGATATAAATAAATATGACATTCTTAGTTTGTATGGAAATATGTAAAGTTTACGTGAATATATTGTAATTTTAATATGTTTTGTAAATAAATAATTTTACTAATATTATAAATGCGAATATTTAGTTAGATGGAAGGATGTATGTTTGTTTGAAGGTATCTCCGAAACGGCTTAATGGATCTTTGTGAAATTTGGTATCCGGTATTTAATCCGCGCGGGCGGAGTTGCGGGCGCCAGCTTGTAAATATATAAATGAATAAGGAACTGCTAGACAGCACTGTGAGGAGTACTATTGATATGACAGAAATATATTAGATGTATATCCACCATATTATATAAATATATTGCCACCCGGACGAAGTCAAAGCGCTCTCTAGTTGACTATAAACAATCAAACACCTATATAAAGTTTACGAATCTTATTAAATAATAGTTACATAAAAAATAACATAAGAGATACCTTTGACATTAACATTGGTGATAACTCAAGATATTGGCGTAAAACACGCTGTATACTTAGTGTCAACTTGAGTCGGATAAGAGAAAGTTATGATTGATGTACGGCCAGACTGTTTCTTTAGTATAAAAGTTTAATGCCATAAGGGTGCGGATTTAAACCAGTAATGGAACGTGATATTGCGGTATTCCAATTAGGGCGTCATGATACAGTTTTCTTTGTAGTTTTTCCGAAACTAATAATTTTCCTGGTATACAAAGAGATATTATTAACAATCTTATATTCTAATACATTAATTATAATTATCAGTAGAGAAAACGACAGACGCAAACAAAAACCCATTTAATTTGCGGGCGTTTCACAAAAAAAAAATTACTTTGGTGCGAAAAACGAAGGATTTTTGGTTGATTTTGCCCCATCTATTAATACGTGTTGAATGTCTGTTCCTCTTTATGATGTTAATATAAATTAAGATAAATGTAGAGATTCTATTAAGCATACAGTAGATCTTCGATATAAATGAGTCAGTTCTGATGCGCCAAGCGGATGCGGTCAACTCGCGGCCTTCACACGTGCCCTTTCGATAAGCTGCGCCCGTGTGAACATTACGCGAACACTCCATCGCTCCACCCACTTGCCGAAATACTCTGTAACTGCCAATCCCATTCAGATTGTACTGATAACTTGAAGATGTTTATTTGATTACATTTGAAAACTCAAACTTTATATATAACATAAAATAAAGTAAAAGAAACTATATTCATAAGTAAAAATAGACTGACATTAATATTGTAAAGTATTTTGCTTCCACATTACACAAAAAAACACTAATTTAAGAATATGAATGCTCAATAAAAATAAAAAAATCTAAGCAGAAGACGAAGTCACGTATTGTTTTAATTTTTAAACTATTATTTAACTACTTATAAAATTAACCTTTTAACAAATACTTAAGGAATTTTAATGACACAGCGTGTTTATATTTAAAACGCAAATTTTAAGTACATATCCCTTATCTAACTGAACGCAATGTTTCCTTATACTCAACAAACACTTAAAAATTTATTTAAAACATTTTCAATACAAAATATATGTTGAAAATACTATTGTGTATTTACTTAATAGCTGGTTTTTAAGAAGGAGCAGAGTTTGTCTTGTTTCAAGGAACAAGGCAATTCATTTGTAAGTGAAACACCGCGAATTCACAACTGTACTTAGAGTTATTCAGCAGCTATCTTCCCAATATTAGATACTTTACATTCTATCAACCACATAAAAAAATAAACGTCATGAATCTATTCTAACATGGTCAATTATAAGTATATTAACAAACGAAAATTTAAATCAAAATTCAAGTAATAATAATTATACATCCTTATTTTGCAACATTTTCGCAGAATATGCTGCAAAATATGCGGTATATTTTCAAAGAAATGAGCACGTTTCTATTATAAAAAGGCTCCTTGAAATTACGTAACATGATTATTAAAATACATTGACAGATCTACGCAAACTTGATGAACGGAAATTACAAAATTCCTGGCCTCAATAAAAACTTCGACCTATGTAAAAATGTCGAATGCATTCATATTAATTTAAATTCGCACATCGAGATAAGCAAATTGATTAATTTTCTATAATAATTTACTAATATATAAAAAAACGCGGTCTGAAATATCACAATTAAGTCTTATTAATTGTATATTTAAATTTTTCTTAAAAGATACGAAACTGAAAACTACACGCACAATTTTATTGTCAATTTTTTTTATTATTTTTCTCCAATCTCATTTTACATAAAAAGTCGTATGAATCTTTGGGCTCGTTATTCTCCATAGTGTTAAAAAAAAAATTCAAATAAATAACTCGTTAATTTGCGGTTCAAATTGTTTTGTACAATTAAAAAACACCAAAGTTCACGGAATATCTCACCTTCATATTATATCCGTTTCTATTTCAATCATGATTAGATCACCATTTAACTAAACGTAAAAAATATCTTTATGATGTTCAAATAACAATGTATTAATTAAAATCTACAAACTATGATATTAAAATCACCATCATCTCTTCTCTGTCGAATACTTTTAAGATGTTTTTCTACCTACTATTCGTAATAGTGACTTCCTACCATGTAAATATAATATTTTAATATCTTTGTACGTTTGTAAATATACTAGCGACCCCTACCAACAACAAAATAAACGTTACCATTTAATTTTTCCTGTAATTTAGTGACGATACGATATATTTTAGCAATATAAACGAGCTT